ACTTTAACGCAAAGGAGCTTGATTCTATGGCAACTGATCCAGACAAGACCCACGTCTTTACGTCTGATTTTAAGCAGCTGCAGTACATTACCAACGATCTAAAGAAAGCAATTTGCTTAAGTAAGTAGCTGTGATATATTCTCAGACAACACTTTTGTTTAAGACATTAGCTCATGAAAATCGCTTTCTCTGTGTATTTCTCGTGCTTGTGTATTAAAGGGGCTGTGTCACGGCAGTCCAGTTCATTTTGTTTAATTTTGCCAATTTCTCGCCCTCAATCGCTATTGAAGTTAAAGTAAGCAAAGAAATTACATGTAAATGACAAAATCAGAGATCCGACAAACAGATATGTCTCCTGAGCATTATTTTTGAAGTTGCAAGCAGCAGAGATCAACTTTGAAAAACTGTTGGGCTGAACAGTTTTCAAAAGCCCTAATTTCAATCCGTTTCAATCTTCTTCAGTTTTGCCCATCCGTGACGTCTGTTGTTTCTGTTATGTTATTTTAACCTTCCTTTAAAGTTTTAAGCGGCTATTTTTATGTTTCTCTTAGTTTAACGGGCATTTTGTAATTTCCTAATTTGGCTGAATTTCGTGACACAGCTCCTTTAACGTCAATGGTTCGGATGGGAGGTAGAGGGAGATGAGACGTACCTTTTTCTAATATGCTAAGGTCATTCTTCTGAAATAGAGGCAGCAGTGAGATTTGTCAACCTTTAAAAATTGGCTGTTTATGTCATAGAAAATTAAATTTTGAAATGAAATTGGGGTGTCCCCATACTAGTTTAGCACCATCCGCAACTTAAATATACGCAATAATTCCTTAAAATACCAGTAGGATTATATTTACAAGTGCATGCTTAGAGAAAGAAAGTTATTGCTCATTTTCAAAGAAGAGGAAAAACGGAACGTTACCATACTCGTTTGAGTGAAAATGAAGATTTTTCTCTCTGATGATCTCCAGTCGCAAGGCAAAAGCTTCCATGTTTAAATGTGCGCGCGCTAATCACGCGTGAAATCATGCGCGGTAAAGATGTGCAAGGCAATATTAACTAGGAATAACCTCAAAAACCAATCACAGTTCTTGCTTTCTTTTTCGGACAAAGTTTTGAAATATAATTTTTGTTTGTTTAAATGAAGTCAAAGTGTAAATGTTGTGAATCAATTGATTTACTCACATGCCTTGACCTAGGTGCTGGTGGCCGTCTTTCTGCGTCTTCACTTCAGCCATGTGTCTGCAAACCAACAAAACCTGTGGGACCAACAAAACCAGGTTTGCACCGTGTAATTCTTTTCTCCTTATTGGGTTCTTGCATTTTTGCGCTCACATTTTGCTGGCTTTTGGTTAAACTTGACGAAAAGATTCATAAGGAGCTTAAACGAAACCAACATTACTATTTCGTATCTGACTTTGAGTCAAGAGACTGAAACACTTACACACTGCAATTTTTGTACCTCAAGTTTACTCAAATTGTCCTCCTTTCCTAAAGGCTTCCGTACTGGGTAAGTTCATTTTGAAATTAAAGTTTTCTCTATTTTTTCCTAGAGAACAAACAAAATTTTTTTAAAATGCATTTACCCTGCAGACGTACCTGCCATCGGTTAAGCATATTTTAACTGTCCTTTTCTTCAAAAGCTTCATGTCAATTTTAGCAAGAAAAGTAAGTATTAGGTAAGATCAGGTCCTTGGATGAAAAACTGAAAGGTCTCAATTATCCTCCTTTTAGCAACGAAACCAACGAAAAAACCAGGAACGCCAGGAGGACCCGGATCCCCTGGAGGTCCAGGAGGCCCAGGCGGACCAGGAGGTCCTGGTGGACCAGGAGGCCCCGGCGGTCCTGGAGGACCGGGGGGACCAGGTGGTCCCGGAGGCCCAGGTGGACCAACAACACCAAAGTCTGGTAAACCAACAAAAACAACAAAACCAACAAAGCAGCCTCCAGGTATGAGCTAAATTTATAGACATCTCTCAATTTTTTACGTAAATAATCATATTATGTTAGTGGAAAATCTGTACATCGCCAGCGTTCTTTATCTCTTAAGGTGATGTTACACGGCACGATTCACAACGACGATTTTTAGCGCAACACAGCGTTGCAATGTTGGAACAATGTTGTAGCCATTCGAAACAATGTTGCAACGCCGTGTTGCGCAAAAAATCGTCGTTGCGAATCGTCTCGTTTAGTATCACCTGTAGACCCCGTTTACACGGGTCCGGAAAAATTTTTGAACAGACCAATTTCTTACCTGTGCGACCCGTTTACACTGAACCGTCCAAATCCTGTTACATTACTGTTTACACGAAGCCGTAAAACTTTTGCCGGAGTCAGCATTGGAATGGCTTTCTTTATCAAACTGAAAGGCGCGCAACTAGGCTGTAAGTTTTTACCGCGCAAACTGTGCAAAAACTTGCAGGGTTTAGGTGTTTGCACGAGTCCGCGTAAGAGTGGAACCCTACCAGTCAAAAATTTTGACCCACTTCTGATCAGGTCAAAAACTTGCATAGTTTGCCGTTCATAAACTTACACGGTTTCGCGGTTCCCCATTACACGTTTACGTGAATGGCGTTTTTGTCGTTCAAAATGTGTCTGCACCCGTGTAAACGGAGCCTGAAAACCACGCAGTTCAATGTCCTATTTTGTAGTACTTTCTGTCATATTCTTTTTCTAATCCTTGTTGATTTTCTTTCATAGGTAAACCAGGTGGTCCTGGAGGCCCAGGGGGCCCCGGTGGACCGGGAGGCCCTAAAGGACCGGGTGGGCCAGGGGGACCCGCGGGACCAGGAGGACCAGGAGGTCCAGGCGGGCCAGGAGGACCCGGCGGACCCAAGACAACTCCCAAGCCCGGAAAGCCTACAAAGCGTCCAGGGACACCCAATGGGCCAGGGGGACCTGGAGGTCCGGGAGGCCCAGGGGGCCCAGCTGGTCCTGGAGGTCCAGGCGGACCTGGTGGACCGACAACTAAAAGACCAGGTACAGTTGAGTTATATATCTCCTAGAAGATATGCATAATAAAGTTTTGCGCTTAGATTGGGTGTCTCGTAATGTGGGTATTGTTCACTGCATTTTTAATCTTCTGTATTACGTCATTTAGTGATCGCAGCCGTCCGCAACACCAAGAGACTACCAACTTTAAGTTCTTACACGGGAAACACGATCAATTTTTTTCCTGCCAGCTTGTGCATTTTTCGTAGTTTCGACATGTGTACGCTAGTAGTTACACACAATGCGATACAGAGAAAGAATAATTGCAGAAACGGGCAAAAACTAATGGTAATGTTCGGTCATTCAAAAGGAAAGTTTAACGTCGCAGTTGTGCGGTGAACATCGACGAAGTGCAAAAAAAGTGTGATGCACATGCAAAGTTGTTATTTTGGTTGATTTGCTTTTTTGATGTTTTTTTTTCCGTCGTCGTAAAGGCTGCCAATTGTAACTAACATAACAAATAAAGTATTTATTATGCGTGCAATTTACAAGATGTGTGTAAACTTCCAACCAAAGAAAGAAGATAACATAGAGTACACCATGGTAAAAAATAATGACAAATCTTGATTCGCTTTCAATGATAAGTCTAATCAGGACTGTCAGTAGCCAGTAAAAATACTATCTTTTCGTCTGAGCATGCAGACTGTTTGCAGTAATCGTTAGAGCGCCCCCCCCCCCCCACATGCTTTATCTTTTGAAATTCAAATACGAAAACGTCGTCTGATTAGCATTTCAAAGGACTTTTTACTCAAAAACGAGGTTAGACGGGCATATTACCATACGTGAGAAGAGCGTATTGATTTACTCACGTGCCTTGACCTAGGTGCTGGTGGCCGTCTTTCTGTGTCTTCACTTCAGCCATGTGTCTGCAAACCAACAAAACCTGTGGGACCAACAAAACCAGGTTTGCACCGTGTAATTCTTTTCTCCTTATTGGTTTCTTGCATTTTTGCGCTCACATTTTGCTGGGTTTTGGTTAAACTTGACAAAAAGATTCATAAGGAGCTTAAACGAAACCAACAGTACTATTTCTTATCTGACTTTGAGTCAAGAGACTGAAACACTTACACACTACAATTTTTGTACCTCAAGTTTACTCAAATTGTCCTCCTTTCCTAAAGGCTTCCGTACTGGGTAAGTTCATTTTGAAATTAAAGTTTTCTCTATTTTTTGCTAGAGAACAAACAAAATTTTTTTAACACGCATTTACCCTGCAGACGTACCTGCCATCGGTTAAGCATATTTTAACTGTCCTTTTCTTCAAAAGCATAATGTCAATTTTAGCAAGAAAAGTAAGTATTAGGTAAGATCAGGTCCTTGGATGAAGGACTGAAAGGTCTCAATTATCCTCTTTTTAGCAACGAAACCAACGAAGAAACCAGGAACTCCAGGAGGACCCGGATCCCCTGGAGGTCCTGGAGGCCCAGGCGGACCAGGAGGTCCTGGTGGACCAGGAGGCCCCGGCGGTCCTGGGGGACCGGGGGGACCAGGTGGCCCCGGAGGCCCAGGTGGACCAACAACACCAAAGTCTGGTAAAACAACAAAACCAACGAAACAGCCTCCAGGTATGAGCTGAATTTATAGACATCTTTGGATTTTTTACGTAAATAATCATTTGATATTAGCGGAAAATCTCCTCGTTTGCACGGGTCTGGAAAAACGTTTGAACGGACGAACTTTTGACTTGCGCGACCCGTTTACAAGGAACCGTGCAAATTCTGTGACATTATTGTTTGCACGAAGCCGTAGAAATTTTTGCCGGTGTCAGCATTGGAATAGCTTTCTCTATCAACCTGAAAGGCGCGTACCTAGGTTCTAGCCTTTTACCGCGCATACTGTGCAACAAAAAACTTCAGGGTTCAGGTGTTTTACGCTAGTCCGCGTAAAAGTGTGACCATACCAGTGACAAATTTTGACCTGCTTCTGTTCAGGTCAAAAACTTGCACACTCTGCCGTTCAAAAGCTTGCACAGTCCCACTGGTCCCGTTTACACGAAAAGCGGATCCGCATAAGTTTTTGTCCGATCAAAATTCCTCCGCACCCGTGTAAACGGAGCCTGAAAACCAGACAGTTCAATGTCCTATTTTGTAGTACTTTCTGTTATACTCTCTCCTAATCCTTGTTGGTTTTCCTTCATAGGTAAACCAGGTGGTCCTGGAGGCCCAGGGGGGCCCGGTGGACCGGGAGGCCCTAATGGACCGGGTGGGCCAGGGGGACCCGCGGGACCAGGAGGCCCAGGAGGTCCAGGCGGGCCAGGAGGACCCGGCGGACCTAAGACAACTCCCAAGCCCGGAAAGCCTACAAAGCGTCCAGGGACACCCAATGGGCCAGGGGGACCTGGAGGTCCGGGAGGCCCAGGAGGCCCAGCTGGTCCTGGAGGTCCAGGCGGACCTGGTGGACCGACAACTAAAAGACCAGGTACAGTTGAGTTATATATCTCCTAGAAGACATGCATAATAAAGTTTTGCGCTTAGATTGGGTGTCTCGTAATGTGGGTATTGTTCACTGCATTTTTAATCTTCTGTATTACGTCATTTAGTGATCGCAGCCGTCCGCAACACCAAGAGACTACCAGCTTTAGGTTCTTACACGGGAAGCACGATCAATTTTTTTCCCGCCAGCTTGTGCATTTTTCGTAGTTTCGACATGTGTACGCTAGTAGTTAGACACAATGCGATACAGACAAAGAATAATTGCAGAAACGGGCAAAAACTAATGGTAATGTTCGGTCATTCAAAAGGAAAGTTTGACGTCGCAGTTGTGCGGTGAACATCGACGAAGTGCAAAAAAAGTGTGATGCACATGCAAAGTTGTTATTTTGGTTGATTTGATTTTTTGCTGTTTTTTTGCCGTCCTCGTAAAGGCTGCCAATTGTAACTTACATAACAAATAAAGTATTTATTATGCGTGCAATTTACAAGGTGTGTGTAAACTTCCAATCAAACACAGAAGATAACATAGAGTACACCATGGTAAGAAATAATGATAAATCTCGATTCCCTTTCAATGATAAGTCTAATCGGGACTGTTGGTAGCCAGTAAAAATACTGTCTTTTCGTCTGAGCATGCAGACTGTTTGCAGTAATCGTTAGAGCCCCACCCCCACATGCTTTTAAGCTACGTGCAAACGGTCGCAACAACTCCCAACAACACGCAACAACACGCAACAGGGTGTGCAAACGGAGGCTACATGTAACATCCAACAATGCTGGGATTTAATTGCCAACAACGTCGCGTCTGTTTGCACGGGGCTTTAGGTCATATCTGTGTTTACCAGTATCTAATAGCTTTCATCCACAACATGCTTTAGGTCATAAAACAAAGAACTGTCAAAATATTGTTATCATAGGTGTATCTACTAGACCCACGAAACCCACTGAAAAGGCTCCAGGGACACCAGGAGGTCCCGGAGGCCCTGGAGGACCCGGAGGACCCGGTGGCCCAGGTGGACCAGGTGGTCCTGGAGGGCCAGGAGGACCCGGTGGCCCTGGTGGACCCACCACACCTGTCCCTGGAAAAACAACCAAGCCTACTAAGCCAACCAAGAAACCAGGACTTCCCGGAGGTCCGGCGGGGCCAGGTGGTCCTGGTGGACCAGGGGGTCCTGGAGGTCCAGGAGGGCCAGCAGGACCGGGAGGGCCGGGAGGGCCAGGTGGACTAGCCACACCACGTCCAGGACAAAAGACAACACCCACCACACCAACGAAAACGCCAGGATCACCAGGCGGTCCAGGAGGCCCCAAAGGTCCAGGTGGCCCTGGTGGACCTGGAGGACCAGGGGGTCTCGGCGGTCCTGGTGGACCGGGAGGACCAGGGGGACCAGGAGGCCCTGGTGGTCCAGGAGGTCCCGGTGGCCCAGGAGGACCAACAACAAAATCGCCGAGAGCGCCAGAGAAGAAAACAACCCCAACTCGGTACCCACCTGGAAAACCCAATGGTCCGGGAGGACCAGGGGGTCCCGGAGGACCTGGTGGTCCAAGCGGCCCTGGAGGCCCGGGTGGCCCTGCAGGTTTACTCCTTTTTCTTTATTATTGTTATTATTATCATTATCATTATCATTATCATTAGCATTGGCGTTAGCATTATCACTACCATTAGCATTATCATCATCATTATAATTAACGCTTAATTGCAACACAGATTTGTTCCTTTATAACTTCCATATATTGCCTTTACCTGTACAATTTTCATGACCTCTTTTTCCTTTAATCTTACGTGGGTTAAGGTCTCTCACTGGTGGATTTAGTGTCCTTATAGCCGGAAATTTGGGAATCGAAACTTACAACTCTTTTACTTAAGCGATAATCGCTGTTTCAGTTTGCTTTCTGTTGTTGTTGGCATTAGTCTGCCGAAAAAGTAGTTTATGAGGTGTTTTTTAAATTTGGAAGGTCCGGAAAAATATCGAACCAGCTCTCATGATTAAGATGTTATTAATTTGAACTCGTATGTACGGTTATACAAAAGGAGTTAGTAGCATAGAATATAGCATTGGTAAAAGGGGCAGTTAATCATGCATTTCCTCCCGTTAAACGATGGTCGTAAATAAAAAAGCAGAGTAACAATGGAATAGGCGGAGAATTAAAAAAGGGTTGCAATGAAATTTGTTTTAACCACTGACTTTTGTACCTAGTGTTACGATATTTTTACTAAACGTTAGGAGTCCTTAAACTCACTCGTAATCTTTCCGGTGCATAAATGTAAGAAGACACGGTAATGTCTTAAAGCTGCATCGATAGTTACAACTTGCATTCTGTACAATACTTACATGTGACAGATACAAAACAAGCGCCCTTGAGCCATAAGTAAAAGAGCATGTTATTTCTGATCAATTCAGAATTAAAGATAGATGGTATCTGAAGCGACAAACGGACAAACTATGTCCACAGAAGTAAATGGAATTTGATGTCAATTTATTATAGGTCCAGGAGGTCCTGGTGGTCCTGGAGGACCGGGTGGTCCTGGCGGTCCTCCGACGACAAAACCTACGAAGCCAACTAAACCTCCGGGTACACCCGGTGGTCCTAATGGGCCCGGAGGACCAGGAGGCCCCGGTGGTCCTCCAACAACAAAACCTCCAATGACAAAACCTACGAAGCCAACAAAGCCTCCAGGTACACCCGGCGGTCCTGGTGGTCCGGGAGGCCCAGGGGGAGCAGGAGGACCAGGAGGTCCGGGTGGCCCTGGTGGACCAGGGGGTCCCAAAACGCCCGCGCCAGGAGTGCCCACAAAGAAGCCGACAACTCGCAAGCCAGGAAGTCCGGGGGGTCCAGGTGCTCCTAGAGGGCCTGGTGGTCCAAATGGTCCTGGCGGACCAGGTTTGTGAATTTGTTTGAATTGCACGCCAAATAGGGCTGGCCGTGAAAAGATAATGGGATTGTGTAGTGCTGCCTAATTAAGTAGATTTGGAATATGTGAAATGCGTACAACTGAAAAGATCATCTTTCTGAAGTAAAGTCAAAAGAATACAAAGTTTAATGACATACACAAGAATCGTTGAGCAGTAATACAATTTTAACGGGCGTACAGTAACGAACCTACATTGAGCATTGTTAGATCGTTTTCTTGGCTTGTCATGGCTAGCGTCTCCCCATGTTTTAGGGTGAGTAACATAGGCACTCTGTTTTTAAACCTCATTTATAGTTCGCTAGGAAAGGTCTTAGGCTGAAAACAACAATCAATCGAAAGCTCTCTCAAGTTTTTCAGACGCAGCTTTAAAAAAAAGATTTGAAAAAATTGACTTAGAAGGGGTGTCTTGTCAAACGAAAGAAGAATTTGAAGATTACATGGTCGTAGAAATATATTAGGGAATTTAGTTTAATATTATTAAGCAACGGTAGAAGTTTAGAGGTCACTTAATGTCTAGTCTAATTTATGATTAAAAGATCTCATGATCGTTCATTGCTTACAAACACAGGTGGACCAAGTGGTCCAGGAGGGCCTGGAGGCCCCGGTGGTCCAACAACACCAAAACCAGGTGTACCTCCCAGACCAACGACACCAACGAAAAATGCACCCGGTTCTCCCGGAGGACCAGGGGGACCTGGAGGACCCGGAGGACCAGGCGGACCAAGCGGCCCGGGTGGACCCGGGGGTCCTGGTGGACCAACAACTGCTAAACCTGGTGTGCCAACCAAACCAACCAAACCGACCAATTCCCCTGGTACTCCTGGTGGACCAGGAGGTCCTGGTGGTCCTGGAGGCCCTAATGGTCCAGGAGGCCCAGGAGGACCCGGGGGACCTGGGGGGCCAGGGGGTCCCGGAGGACCGGGCGGACCCGGCGGACCTGGCGGACCAGGTAGGGGAACTTTAAGGGTCTCTTCACTTATTGCTTACAGCTGTAAAACATTGATGTTATACAAATATGTTAAGCGAAATTGTTTCTATTACATTCCTGTTCATCAAAGGCCGTGACATTTTCGTCCATATTCAGAGAATGGCTGCCAGAAAATTCTAGTGAGATTTAAGTAACAATCCCAAATTTCAACACACTTCTTCATCAAAAACGGATGTTAAAGTGGCCTTAAGTTTACAAAGAAAGGTGTCTTCTTATGCGTATTACCTCGCAAAGTTGAATTTCAGGAATAATCTAGGGAAAGAGGAAGGCTTTATAAACAAGTCCAAATCCGCATCTCTGAAAGAGATGTATGGATAAGAGGTGAACCAGTTTGTTTAAAAACGTTATGTTGCACTTCTGGCTTCTCCTCATCAGGATACGCTAAAACGTTATCAATAGGCCATTTGCACCAAGAGGTCATATGACAGTTTTCATGAAAATGAAAGCTATATGATTTTGCCTTCGAAAAACGATTAGTGGGTCATATCTTAAACAGAATAATAGTGATTTTGTGTTTCAAACCCGTATCATCTTCTTAAAATGAGTAAGTTCCTCGCTAGTCACGTGACCAAAATGAGATTTTTAAAATTATGAATTACTTTTTTCTGAACACATGCTTTGCACTTAAACTTCAAGGTGGATGTTGAAAAATGATTTGGTAACGTTTACAGCACATCTGAGCGTAACTATCAAACGTTTAACAAGATATAAGCAAAAAGTAGTTTTGGCCGCCATGTTGGAGGGCAAGAGTATGCCCTCCAACATGGCGGCCAATACAAGTCATACTACTTTGTTGATAAATCAAAGTGCAATAAAATATCTCCCTTAAATGCGTTTCCTCTCAAATTTCGGGTGTAAGCTAATTTTTCTGTGCTCTGTCAATTTTTGGCATCAGCAAGATTCCAACTCATTGTTTAAAGGAAGCATTGGTCACGTGACCTCTTAGTGCAAGTGGCCTATATTATGGCTGAACGTCTTTTACAGCGTTTATCATACCCTACACATCATCTTCTTATCTTGATTGTTTCTAAAATTAGGTGGCCCTGGGGGACCAGGAGGTCCGGGTGGACCAGGGGGACCAACAACCCCAGCACCCCAGGGGCCTTCTACCAAACCAACAACCGCCAAACCGGGAGTGAAAACAACACCTACGAGGCCGAAACCAGGTGAGAAAAGGTATTTTTGTTGCGAAATTAGCAAATCTAGAATAACATAGATTAAACAATGACCGACGAGCGTCGAGAATTTGTGGAATTTCATAAAACAAACATTATATGCAACACAGATAATATCGTGTCATTTTCCTGGCTATTCGCATTTCATTTCTCAGTTGTTTGGGTGGGGCTGAAAATGACATATCTCCTTGGAGACTCCAATCAGATTAAAATAGGCGGGATAACTGTCCCTATTTAGTCTGCATGCACTATGATTTCAGCCTCCTTGCCATTCGCGGGAACGCCATCTTCTAACCCAAACTTTTTTCCTCAGCTCCAGCCCGACGGAGGGCTAATTTTATATGTTTTTCCAAGGGGCGGTTTTTCTTGTGCCCCACCTTTGCTGAAGTTACCATCACATACTTGTAATTTTCGTTAAGGTTATCAAGTATTAGTAAAATGCAACTAGTGGTCTATTATAAATGCTGCGTTCCGATTGGTTGAGCTACTACTAGGCTATATGTTATAGCAAGTATAATCGCGGGCTTTTTTGACGGCAAAGAAGGATTAAAGTCTAGCTTTAACTCATGGGCTATTGACTCAGAGCCCATTCGGGCTCGAGGAATAATTTTTAAATATTTGAGACAAATAAACGTCGCAGTAGTGGCCATGTTTACGCCAGATCGCCTGTTCATATTGTTAACCTTGCTTCAGCAAACGAGCGCGACAAGAGCAATTCCCAGCCCATCCTAAGAGCGAAAAGGGGACTAGTTAAAAAATACAAACCTTTTTGACACGTTTTAGGAAAGCCTGGCGGTCCAGGAGGGCCTACAACAGCTCCACCTGGGAAACCTGGTGGACCTGGAGGTCCAGGAGGACCAGGAGGACCGGGTGGTCCTGGGGGACCGGGAGGTCCAAAGCCCGGAGGTCCCTGTAAACCAAAGGTCCCAACAGCTGTTCCGACGAAGCCTCTTCCCACCACACCTATCGGACCAACAGCTGCGACTGCGAGACCTGGAGCCACAACATCGCCCAGTAAAGGTACATACAAAATACACAGCTAGCTGATAAGGAAAAACAACCATTAACTGGAAATTATTAGTAAGAGAGACAGTCGATTTTAACACTGTTTTACAAACGTATTTCATTTTCTAAAATACGCTTTTATTCATCAAATCTGTAAAAAGAGAGAATGTACACAGAAAAAAAATGCATAGCAAAATACATTCGATATGCTAAGAAACGGTGAAGCTAGCAGACTTATTTCTTCTTCGTTTATATATTATGACCTGGTAGTTGTTAAAAATGATAAGTCAGTGCAACACACTTTTTAACCAAACAACTGATAATTCTTTTTCGGTGTTAATTTAGTATTTGACGAAATGTTTCTACTTCCCATCAGTATGACAACCATTATGAAGACCCTTTATGAGACAGTTTTTAAGGAGCATGAGATTGTTTGCGTCTATTAAGACTGCTATATAGTTGACACAAACAGGTTGGATTTGAAAGTAAATGTTCTTCTGTTGCCTAAACATACAGTTTGCAACGCCAAGCTGGATCTTGTTGTGGTTGTTGACACCGTTCCTGTCGTCCGAAGGGGATTTTCCTTTATAAGAAGATTCCTTCTACAGCTTGTCGACTCCTTCACCATTTCCGTTCAGAACGTTCGACTTGGATTGGTTGTTAGCTCCAACCGCCCTCAAGTCAAGCTTACTTTGGGTCAGTACAACAGTCGTAAAAGAATAAAAAGGATCCTTGGACTGCTTCAACCATTCGGCACCGCAAGACGAACAGGAATGGCCCTGAAATTAGCACTGAGACGCATTTTTGCTGCTGGTAAAGGAAAGAAAACGTTAATTTTGGTAACAGCGGGGAGGTCTTCCGATCGGGTCCTTGGGCCAATACAGAGGTTAGTTGCTAAAGGCGTGGATGTCTTCAGCGTTGGTGTGGGACCTGCTGCTGTTCTCAGTGAAATTCTCACTACAGCAAAAGACCCTCAACATGCCTACAAAATAAGCTTCAAGGGCCTAGCAACTATTGTCAAGCGTATAGCGGACAAAGTATGCGCAGGTTTGTTGTAAGAATTTGTAAATCTATGATCTAGTTCTCAATAAGGGGAGAGAGAAGTATGGAGAACCATTATAGGACACTCTCTCTTCATAATTATACGATATTGCTATGACTGTACTTCCTCATTCAGATGCTGGCGTGTCCCAGTATTCCGCCGGATTCCTTTTTGACTTTTGCGGCATTTGGTACAAGCACCTTTTTTGGGGTTCTTTTTCTAATGAAAGCTCTTTCGTATATGATAAAATTATTCATGGCAACTAAAAAACAATGATAAAAACAAAACTGAGGTAACTAAAAATCATTGATGAAAATCGCTGTTTGGTGTCATTGACTTTACTTCTGGGAAAACAGAGTCCGAAACATCGTTCGATTTCATCGTTGATGTGTTTTACTTGCCTATGTATTAAGACACCTTTGCTTTCAAGGATAAAGTTCTAATAATACCACGAAAATCCAATAGTTTTCCGTATATCTAATATGTGTATTTGGAATGCTAAGAGGTACTTTAACTAAATCACAATTCCTCGTCTTTACAATTTATTTTTCAATAAGTGCAGGCAATTGAATTTGTTCTTGATATGACATGAACTTCGAGTTTCTTGAAAGGATTTAAAACCTTCCCCAAGATCTCATTATTTTCCAAGAGTCCTTGGGTTAAGATAAAACGCAGCGGTGTCTATATTGTCCGCAAAGAAACTCATTAATTTATTTTGTATTTGCTTTACCAATTAATGTATTTTTCAATAAAATTATAGAAGCTGGAGGCAGGACTCAGGCAAGGACGAAACCTACGAAACGTCCAAGTAAGAACATTGAGTTGCGTTTGTCCTTGCTTTGCAAGCTGGTTCATTTCCATCCATTGTTTCTCTGCGTGAATAGCATAGAACCCCTGTTCGTTTTTTTTTTTTTTTATCAATCCCTTTCATTATAGAACCGTGTACTCTCTTTGGGACGTTAAAGAACCCACACACTGTACGTAAAGAGTTGTTCCCGGTGTGGTGGTCTATCTCAAAAGCGCACTCACATAGTGGATCATAGTGAACATCATCACCGATTCCTTCAGTACAAGTTTGTAAACTGCGCCATACGCAGTCTGGCAACAAGTTCTCCAACCTTTATTGTAAATTATCCCTGAAGAGCCACGAGGGGAGTGGACTATATCTTTACTATCAACAATTACAGTTTACAATTTCTTTTCGTTTCCTTGTAACAGAACGTCCTAAGGCTGTCGGCATTTTCCCACTGAACAAACGGAATCGAGCGGCGGACATTGGCCCACTAAAGAATAGCCCAGGCATCATGTACAATGTTCGACCTAGCCCGGGTCCAAACGGTAAACCGGGTGGATCCCTGAGGTTCCCTAGATCAAGGCCAGGTTATATTGAGTTTCCTAACAACGGAAAACTGGATACCAAAAATTCAATAACTGTTATCTTATGGGTCAGACCTGAAGGACCAGGAACAATGATACGGTATAAACCAAGGGGAGTCACATTTGGCATTCGCTCCCGCGACAGCCTATACTCTCGATTTATTCGAAGAAACGGTAGATCAACCAAGACTATTAAGACTAGGCGGCGTGCAATATTGCTGAGGCAGTGGAATTATGTTGCTGTTACATACAACCAAAGATCGGGGATTGGAACCATTTGGCGGAATTCTCGTCCTATTGCTTTCCAGAAACTTGGTTGGATCAGACTGGCTACAAAGAGCCCACTAAGGGTGGGTGGGGCGCCTC